AACCCTCCTACACTGCTGGTGGGAATGTAAATTAGTTCAACCATTGTGGAAAGCAGTATGTAGGTTCCTCAAAATGCTCAAAATAGAAATACCATTTGACCCAGGCATTCCACTTCTAGGAATTTACCCTAAGAATGCAGCACTCCAGTTTGAAAAAGACAGATGCACCCTTATGTTTATCGCAGCACTATTTACAATAGCCAAGAAATGGAAGCAACCTAAGTGTCCATCAGTAGATGAATGGATAAAGAAGATGTGGTACATATACACAATTAACTATTATTCAGCCATAAGAAGAAAACAAATCCTACCATTTGCAACAACATGGGTGGACCTAGAGGGTATTATGCTCAGTGAAATAAGCCAGGCAGAGAAAGACAAATACCAAATGATTTCACTCATGTGTCAAGTGTAAGAACAAAGAAGAACTGAAGGAACAAAACAGCAGCAGAATCACAGAACCCATGAATGGACTAACACTTACCACAGGGAAAGGGACTGGGGATGATGGGTGGGAAGGGAGGGATAAGGGTGGGGAAAAAGAAAGGGGGCATTACAATTAGCATGTATAGTATTGTGGGGCGGGTATGGGGAGGGCTGTACAACACAGAGAAGACAGGTGGTGATTATACAACATCTTGCTATGCTGATGGACAGTGACTGTAGTGGAGTGTGTGTGGGGGACTTGGTGAGGGGGGAGCCTGGTAAACATAGTGTTCTTCATGTAATTGTAGATTAATGATAGCAAAAATTAAAAAAAACAAGACAAAAAAGGCAGCATTATAAATGATTAAAAAGAAGAGGGAGAAGAGAATGGAAAAGGCTAGGGAACAGTTCTGGATTAAAGGTGACTAAAGACAGGTTAACCAAGGCGTCTTGTGATTCCTGAATGGAGGTCCTGGATTGGGAAGAAAATCATCTATAAAGGATATTTTGGTACAGTTGTGGGAATCTGAATATTGACTATACATTAGAGGACATTATTGTATAGATATCAAATATTTGGGGTGAGTGAGTGGTATACCTAAGAGCACTGGAAAGACAATGTTCATGCTCTTAGGAGATATCTGTGGAGATATTTGAGGGTGACAGGTCATGATGCTTGCAATTAACTTTCAAATGGTTCAGTGCAAAAGCAAAATGTTGCATGTTTGTAAAGAGATAAAGCAAAAGTGGCTAAATGATTCCATGTAAAAAATACATAGGTGTTCAGGGTACTAATCCCACAACTTTTCTGTAGACTTGAAGTCTTTAAAAATGAAGTGGAGGATGAAAGGAATGGGAACAACCAAAATGTCCATCAGAAGAGTTTCAATAAACCATGAGACACAATAAAAATTTGATGCAGATATTAAAAAAGAGAACAAGGAAGTCCTTTACATCCTCATCTGGAATACTTTCCATATATACTTTTAAGAAAAAACAAAACAAAACTGCATAGGGTATGCTGCCATTTATATTAGAAAAGGGAGGAAAAATATTTTATATTGACTTTGTATGCAAACAACTGAAAGAAAAAACTAGAAACAAGTGATAGTGTCTGTGTATTAGGGAGATGTAGGAACTGGGTGAATGACATACATAGGTGGAGGCTTTGTATATATCTGACTATATATTTTCAAATATTCTGAATGTTTCTAAATAGGAAATAAAGGAATGAGTTAGGGAAGTAGAAGCATGGAGCTACAGGGTTTTTTCAGTAAACAGAATAAACTTAAAAAGTTAAAATTTGAAACTTAAGATTTTAGGGATAATTGTGCTTGTTTATATGTATATACAAGAAGTGAACAATGGCACAATGAAAGCCCCAGACAAAGCTCTGAGGGATGGGACCCAGGGGTCATGTAAAAAGACAAAATGAGACACAGTGGAAAGGTAGGACGATGATATCTGGAAACCTCTTCCTGAAAATGGCCTCTGTAAGGAACTGAAGACAAAAGCTCAGAGAAATGCTGGGATGTCTTTATGGAGAGTGACTTGGCTATATTTTAAAGATACATCCCACTGTGCTTAGGCTCTTCCATGCAAACAATGTTACGTGTCAGTTATTCTCACCTGGACTAGGGCCTTCTAAGATTTCTTTTATCACCATCCATGGTTCTTCCAATAAGGGAATCACAGTTGGTCTGTACACTGTCAGTCCTGTTAAGGAAGGATATAAGTTTTATCCTGGAGATGAACAACATTCAAATTTTATTACCTGACTTCTATTTATCTGTGAGGACAGGCCTCTACAGGAAAACAATGGATCACAGACACGACCCAATAAGGGAATTAGGTCACTGTCCTTTACAGAAGTAGAATAGAAAGTTCCTGCCACCTGGAAGACATATACAGTGGGGGGAGTAGACAATGGGTAAGGTGCAGTATTGGGTGGGAGCCCTGTGAAGCTGTGCATCACAGTTTGCAAGTATCTTTCACTTTAGAAACCTTTCATTTGGGGAAAGGGAGTAGAACACAGCCATTTCTGTGCCTGAACGGGATGAGCACATTCATCTCTAGGCCTCATTCCTAGCAAAATACTTAGAGGCCCAGCCCATTTTTAACAATGGAGGAAAGATAAATACTTGGTGGGTATGCTGGGAGGTGGAGTGGGCACAGATGACACTTACCCAGAGAAACCATGTTCCAATAGTTCTGTAGCGTCACAGTCTTGTACAGTTCCTTCTGCACAGGACGCATTAGCTGCCAGTCCTCCTGGGTGATATCCACAGCCACATCTTTGAATGTCATTGATTCCTAACACATTAAATGTAACTTAACTTGGCTCAAAAACTGGTAGGAAGGGGATGGTGGTAACACCAGGTATGTATGTTGTGGGGGAATCACAGAATTTTGAGCTTTAGTAAGACCATAAAAGTTATCTAGTCAAAACCCCCACCAAATGTACAGATGAGCACAGCTGACTGGTCATAAAGGGTGGTTTGAAAAAAAGGTAGAATTTATTGTTTTCAACTGGCACTAGTGGCTCCATCTTAAAAGAGAAAGGGTTTCACACAAAGGGCAGAGTTGATGGTTGTACTTTTTAAGCTTTGCCTTAACATAAACTCAATGCCTTATAATTTGAAGTTTTAAGATGTTTCTGTGCTCTATGATGAAATGCAGAGCCCTTCCTTCCTTGTTTAAATAAAACATACCAAAGTACACTATGGGATTTCTCTTTGTAAATTTTCGGTGTACCTATTATAGGCTTTAGGTTTGTGGTCACCAAACGTTCAAGGATAGTGTCCTGACTATATAACAGTCTATATTAAGTTGCTGATTGCTCTATTCCAAACAATCTAAAAATACTTCTTTTTCCTTTGTCCTCCACACTGTATTAGATGTCATAATCTGCACTTTTAAAAAATGTATGATTTTGTGTATAGTTGCTTTTACTAATATGTATTTTTTAAAATTTCACACTTGCTTGGCAAGTAATTGGTCTACTTTTACTGTGGCTTTATTTTCACTGGTGAAAACTATTTAGGCTTAAGAACATTTCCATATACAGAAGTCCCTTCAGCATATCCATAATGCGGGTTCAGTGGTTAGAAATTCCCCAAACCTTTATCTGGGAAATGTTTAATCTCTTTAAAATTTAAATGGTAATCTCACTGGGTAGAGGATTCTTGGTTGAAGTTCCTTGTTTCAATACATTAGACATTTCATGTCACTCCCTTCTGAGTTTTTGCTGAGAAGTCTGCTGATAGCCTGATGAGGTTTCCTTTATAAGTGATCTTTTATCTCTTTGGCTGCTTTCAGTACTCTCTCTTTATCCTTAATCTTATCCTTTTTGTGTATAGTTGCTTTTACTTTTTGTTTTGTTTTAATTTCAAGATATATGTCTTGGTGTTATCTCCTGGAGTTCATTTTTTAGGGGCTATGCTTTTATGACCTGATTGAGGAAGTTTTCAACAATTATTCCTTCAAAGAGACTTTCTATCCCTTTGTCTCTCTCTTCTCCTTCTGGTACCCCTATAACGCAAATAGTTTGTTTGGATTGGTCACACAGCTCTCGTATTCTTTCAAACCTAGATACTCTTTTTTCTCTCTGTTCCTCAGTTCCGTTGTTTTCCTATTCTCTAATTTCCATTTCATTGACTGTCTCCTCTACTTGTAGCAATCTATTATTCATTACCTCCATTGAATATTTCATTTCAGTTCCTGTATTCTTCAGCTCTGAGGTGGCTTTTTCAGCAAAGCGTACTATTGAATGGCACTATTGAATGCATCCTTAGATACATCTTACAATCTGGTGAGTGTCCCTCTACAATTCTTTTGCTGAAAATATGTTCTTGATTACTCTTATATGCTTTTCAAATAAGCTTTGTAATTTTCTTTAAAAAATTGTATTGGGATTTGTTTTTTCACATTGAAATGTGAAAAATCACATTAAGTTTATAATTTAGGGAGAACTGACAGTTTAATGATATTCAAGGCTTCTTTCATGTCCTATAGAATGATGTAGGACACAAGGTACTACAAAATTTCTAGAATGTTTAGTCCTAGATATTTTTTAAATTATTGGAGGATAACACTGTGAATGAAATGTTTTATTTTATCTGTGTCTGATTTTGATATATATGTAAGAAATTTACTAATTTTTGTATGTCACTTTCTGTAATAGTTGCCAAACTCAGATGTTCCATTATTGTTTCCAACAGTTTTTCTTTTGATATTCGTAGGTTTTTTAGGTAAACAATCATATTATCTATAAATAATTTTACCCTGGTTACCAATTCCAGATCATTTATATTTTTATAGCAAACCTTTCTCTTAAGGCAGCCTGAAATAAAACAGACCCATGATCAACAGTAACACCACAGAATACATGGCCTTTAGTTATTCGGTATTAGCAAGTAGTGCTTATGGAGCACTTACTATAATCCACACTAACCACAAGTTTCAAAATGTTAAAGCCTTACATTCTAAAAGGTAAATTTTATTTATTAAAGTTGAATAACTCAGGCTAAGAGTGGTCAAATATCTTGCCCCAAATCACAGGTTCAATGGTAGAACCAGAAACCAAACCTGATCCATCTGGCTGTGGAGGTCAATTCCTTAACCTCTATGTGCCATTGCTGCCTAACAATCAACACGGAGGTAAGGCATAGCAAGGGATGGCAATGGGAGTCCATTTCCTACACAGGGCTTTCACCTACCTTAACAGGCTGAGGTGACTTAAGGAGAAACTGATGCTTAGCTTATAGGTAGGCCTTTGAGGGCTCAAGTTACAGGAAAGAAAATGTCCTCACACACACATCTTTAAGAAGGCATTTTAAAATCACAGAAGAAACTAAAACTCACTTTGGTCACCAATTCATTTAACCACCCTGCCTGGAAAGCATGTCTTCCTTTCGGGTCTTCTTCTGGGGTCCCTTGGGAAAAGGCTGAGCTCTGAGGAGCAGCTACGGGAGAGAGAGAGAGAGACCATGATGGAGACAGTTCTGTTTGAGCAGCCTGAGAAACTCTTCACTACATAGATGCCTACACTTTCTTAAAGTGAGAGATCAGAAGGAAACCAAAAATGCCGTCCCATTTCAAAGAAGCGAGGCCTAGGCCTTCTCTTAAGATGCCAAGGCAGGCTTCAAAAACAGGTCTGCTCTGGGACTCAAGTACATGTACAAAATTCACAATTGCTACCAAATCCTCATGTGATGTAAATTTTCTGAGATTTCTCTTAAGCAAATGTTCTCTGGACCCTTTCCTGCCTTTTAGGAAGTATGATACTATAAAATCCAATTCACGAAGCAAATGATTTATCAGTAGAATGGTTCGAACCTCTGTAGATAAACTTCGTGAGGGCTCACATGGTTAATTTGGTTGTAACTGGTCATCGTTTTATGACACTAGATAACACGTGTCTGGTTTCTGGCAATCTGGAAGGGGAACCCATACAGCATGGGGCTCATGGTAAAGCCTGTTCTCGCCCAGTGACTTTTCTCCCTAGTTTCTTTAAAGGGCTGCTCTCTGCTGCTCTGCATGTCTCCTCTAACCAATCAGGATCCTCCACTCTCTCCTCTACAATTCTCACCTTCCTCTTCTAGAATTTGAGTTAAATCCTCCACCAGAGTCACCACTTCCTCGCTGTTCTCTGGGTACTGGGACTTCACCCAAGTCCTAACCTCCCCAGGCAGGATGGTCAGGAATTGCTCCAGCACCAGCAGCTCGAGGATTTGTTCCTTTGAGCGAATCTCAGGCCTCAGCCACTTACGGCAGAGCTCTCGGAGTTGATTCAGTGCCTTTCGAGGACCAGCCAGGTCTGGATATGGAAAATTCCTAAAATTTTGTCGACAGGTCTCAGTGTTGCGTAAGAGTCTTGATGCAAGGATTTCCTTCTCAACATTGTGGGGTCCACAATGAGCCTTGTTTGGCTTCCACATTAGAAGGATTTGGGAGCGTGAAGAACTGGTCGTCCTTTTGCATGGGGCTAACATTGTTACAGTCAGAAGAGTCGATCTGGCAATGTCCTTTATTTCTCCAGTGGTAAGCCAATGGCCTTCAGTTTCATTCTAGAGCCACAAAGACATGAAGGGCTGCTGCAGTCAGCAGCAGAACAGAGTAAGGTAGTTACAAATGTGGAGCCCAGAACTTGCAGGGATGGTTAGAAGACCCTGAAACACAAGAATAGACCATAAGGTCAAGAATTCCTGGTGCTCTGCTATACACATACACAAATGAGAGAGACTACTCATTGTTCACAGATAAACACAGACTTTACCTTAGTCTCCCTCTCCTATATCCTTAGACTTGTAAGATAAGTGCAGTCTGCGTCAGGCGGGGATCGGGACTGCCACAAAAAAAAGTGGTAAGAGAAGCAAAGACTGGAATCATGAAAGATACGACAGATCAAATTTCTTGTTGAAACAGAAATTAAACATTTTTTACAGGAAAAAAAGCTTCATTATTTTAGTCTTTGATGTTACAGAAGCTGTAATGACTGAACTGGCTCGCGATAACAGAACAAATCTATTAGAATGAACTGGAAGAACTTAGTAAAGTGCCCAAGGAAAAAGAGCGAGCCGTTTGTTTACCTGTTTGGTAACAACAGGCCAGCCTATTTGGGGTTTTTGCTATCTGAGAGCCGGGGAGACTTAACGGTTAGACCGAAAAGAAGTAGAAGGTTGGTGTGATTTGAAACCCGTTACGGCTGCTGCAGGAGACAGATCCATATGAATAAATGTGAAGCCGGGCTCCCGAAGAAAACGTCAGAAGAGGCCTGACTCGGGGGGGAACCGACACCACCTGCCCAAGGGCTCCAGCTCTGAGCCGTCTTCACCCTCAGGCGTGTAACCAAAGCCAGCTGTTTACCAGGCTCTGCGGAGGAGAATGCGCCGGTCCCGCCCGTCGCCTCCCCCTTCCCGGTCCGGCCTCCCTAAGCCCTCCGCACGGAGGGTTGCGGCCAGCGAGGGCGTGGGGACCCGCTGACGCGCTGCGCTGCTACTGGGCCGCCCTCAGCAGCCTCCACCCGCGTTCGCTCTCTCCGCGGGCCGCGAGCACGGGCGCCCGCGCCTGTATCGGGTGCGGCTCGGGCCCCGGCCGCGCGGACACTCGCCCCGGCGCCGGCGACATCATTACCTGTCGCTGGGACCCGGCCGACGCGCAGCCGGAGCGGCCCTAAAGGCCCGGGGCAACAATGGCGGCGGGGGCACGGGCGCCTGCGTGGCGGGCTCAGCCACGCTCCGCAGAGGGGCTTTTGGCCCCGCCACTTCGCTTCCCCAGGAAGCAGAACGCGTCTCGGGGAGGAGCCGCACGTCTCAGCCCAGTTCTGAGAAACCGGGTCCGAAACCCACATCTAGACTCCGCCGCGACCTCGCCTCGGCGCCACTGCGCATGTGCGCAGTGATAACGCTGCGCGCCCCCTGAGCCAATCGGAGGCCGCGCCCGGCCCTCCCTCGCCAGACCTGTCTCCATGGCAACCTCCTCCACCCATCACTGTGACTTGGTCGTTAGCCTCCAAGGTTCTGAAGCGAACTTTAAAGTTGCTCTGGGCAGAGGCAGGTGTAGTAGACGACTTGGAGGTCTACCAGCATCTGGGAAAGGGGGGTGCGATTGTGGTGGCGGGTGGTTGAAGCCCTGCACTAATTAAACCAGAGAAAACCTGGTGCCAGATTCCTAGAGGGAGGGTGGGCAAAGAAGATGTGGGTCAAGGCAGAAAGGCCCAAAGTGCTGGTAGGCTCTATGTGCATAAACATTCACTGTTATCGGTTCTGAGTCCCTCCTCAGGAATCTGATTCGGAGACTCTCAGATTAGAACAAAGAACGACAGTATGCTGTTTATAAGAGACACAGAACATAAAACAGAAAGCTTGAAATGAAAGGATGGAAAAACATTTCAGGTATTCTGCTATCTACCGCTGTGTTGGCAAACCATCCCCAAACGTAATGGTTCAAAAGAACAACCATTTTGTTATGTGCATGGATTTTGTGGGTCAGAAATTTGGAAGAACAGTGGGTGTGGCTCTTCTCTGCTCCATTGTGTCTGGAGCCTCAGCTGAGATGATTTGATGGCACGGAGGGTCCACTTCCAAGATGGCTTCTCCACTCACTTGTCTTGTGCGTGGGCTGAGGTGGCTTAAGGATAAGCTCAGTTTGGATTTGGCCAGAGCGCCAACATGTGGCCTTTTCAGCATGAAGGACTTGGGGATGGTTGGGCTCCTTATGTGGTGCCTCTGGGGTTCAAGAGCAGGTGTATTAGTGAACAAGAAAGAAACTCCGTGGATGATTATGACATAGCTTTGGAAGTAACAGAGGAAGTCATATCACTTAGGTCATAGTTTTGGTCAAAGCAGTCACAAGTCTGTGCAGAATCAGCTGGAGGCAAATGTAAACCTCATCTCTCAATGAGAGGAGTGTCAGAGTGTCTTAATAGTACCAAAGCAGGCAAATCTGAGCAACAACAAAAAAATAAAACTACCATATTTTCCAGCAATTCCACTAATGGGTATTTATCAGAAGGAAAGGAAAACACTGACTTGAAATACATCCCCATGTTCACTGCAACAGTATTCACAGCAGCCAAGACACGGAAGCAAGCGGAAGCAACCTAAGTATCGATGGATGAATGGATAAAGAAGTTGTGGTGTGTATGTATATATAAATGGAATATTAATCAACAATAAAAAATGAAATCTTGCTCTTTGTGGCAACATGGATAGACCTTGAGGGCATTGTCCTAAGTGATATATACCAGACAAAGACAAATATTGTAGGATCTCACTCATGTGTGGAATCTAAACAAACAACTGAACTTACAAATACAGAGAACATATTGTTGGTGGCCAGAGTCAGGGGGTGGATATGGGTGGGTGAAGTGGGTGATGGTGGTTAAAAGGTACAAACTCTTAGTTACAACAACCTTCAATTCTGGGGATGTAATGTACAACATGGTGACTGTGGTTAACAATAGTGTATTGTATATTTGAAAGTTGTTGGGTGAGTAGATCTTCAAAGTTCTCATCACAAGAAAAAGAAATTATGACTGTGAGGTGATGGATGTTAACTAGACTTATTGTGGTGATCAATTCACAATATATATGGATATTGAACCATTACATTGTACACCTGAAATAAATATGTCAATTATATCCCAGTAAAAAAATAAAACATTGCTTTGTATAATTGCCACACAAGGAACTGCACACGCTTAAAATCTACATTTTAAGTATTGACGTATGCACACACTTGTGAAACCATCACCACAATCATGATAGTGAATAAATATGTTTGTCATCCTCAAATGTCTCCTAGTGGTCTTATTGCAGTCGCTTTCTGTCCCCCATTCCTCCTTCTCCAAGCAACCACTCATTTGCTTTCTGTCACTCTTGATTAATTCTCATCTTCTTGAATTAAAAACAAAGCAGATATAGCCACATAGTATGTACTAATTTCTGTCTAACTGCTTTCATTCAGCATAACCATCCAGAATTGTCCCTAAGCCAATAGTTCAGCCTAGCATGGCATTGAATAGATATGTTAACAATTTGTTCATTCATTCATCTGCTGATAGATATTTATGTTTCCAATTTTTGTGTGTTTGAAATAAAGTTGCTATGAACATTCCTGGGAAAGTCATTGTCAATTGTAAGGACACACACTTTTATTTCCCTTGGTTAACACCTAGGTATGGAAAGGGCAGATCATACAATAGGTGTATGTTCAACTTTTTAAGACACGGTCAAACTGTGTCCCAAAGGGTTTGCGTTATTTTGTGTTCCTACCAACAGTGTATGAGATACCCAGCTCCTCTGGTGAGGATTTTTAATTCCTGCTGTAGTATATTCAGCATTTTCTTATTTGATTTTGCAGAATCAGAATGAGTCAAGGCTATTTACGTTACATAAAGTTAGTTAAATTTGCCCTGGTGGTAACTGAAAAATAAAATAAGAAACAGACATCATCATAGTTATACTATTGTAATTATTTTTATGTATTTTCCTTCATATTTTTTTCAGGTGTATGCACAAGAACATACACCTCACTTAGGAGGTACCATAAATAAGCAATTACCTAAACGTGACATTTCTATTTTTAAGTAAACATTTTATTTCACATCTAGTTATAAAAAATAACGGAGATCCCATATACCCTATACCCAGTTTCCCTCAGTGGGAACATTTTACAAAACCATTGTTCAATATGGCAGCTGGGACGACATTGACAGTCAGGATACAGAACATGAGCATCACTAGAGGGAGCCCACGCTTGTCCTTTTATAGCTACACTTACTTCCCTCCAGCAGCCAACCCTGCCTTAGCCCCTGGCAACCACCAATTTGTTCTTCTATTCCTTCTTTTTTTTAAATTTTTAAAAATCATTTCATGAATTCTGCGTAAACTGAATCATACAGTATGTAATTTTTGTGAATGGCTTTTTTCACCCAGGGTAATTCTCTGGGATTGATCCAGGTTGTTGCTTGTATCAGTTTTCATTGTAGTCTTCCATGGTATGGATGTAGCTCACCTACAAATGGACATTTGGGGTGTTTCCCATTCTTGGCTATTACAAATAAAACTGGCATGAAAACGTGAGCATAAGCTTTTTGTGTGAATATCTTCTTTTCTCTGAATAAATTCATAGAATTGTAATTGTTGCACTAAATGGTAGTTGTGTGTTTAGTTTTTGAGAAACTGTCAAGCCGTTTCCTGCAGTGGCTGTACCATTTCACATTCCCACCAGCAATGTGTGAGTGATCCAGTTTCTGCCTCCTAATCAGCTTTTGGTGTGGTGACATTTTTATTTTAGCCATTCTGGTGGATGTGTAGTGATATTGTGGTTTTAATTTGCGTTTCCCTGGTGGCTAACGATGTCGAACTTCTTGCTTATTGGACTCTATCCTCTTCTAGGAAGCTCTCCAATCAATAAATTAATTTACGTGTTAAGGAACTAGAAAAAGAGGAACTTGACTCGAGGTTGAAAGAAAGAAGGAGATGATAAAGATTAAAGTGGAGATAAATGAAATTAGGACTAGGAAAGCTGTAGATAGAATCCACAAAACCAAAAATTTGGAAAGATCAACAAAATCGACACACCTTTACCTTGAATGACCAAGAAAAAACATGGAAGACACAAAGTAATAAAATCAGAATTGAAAATGGAGACTTCATGTAAAGAAAAAGGATTACAGGAGAACTCTGTGAACAATGTACTCACACAAAGAAGGTTATCAAGATGAAACGGAAAATTCAATCAGTGATTCAACAGGCGACCGGCAGGGGGCACAGGGCCACCACAGTGGGCGCAAAACTCCCTGTGTTCTCCTCGATGGCCACCAGAGGACGAGCGGACCCGCGCTTAGTTTGTAGGCGTAGAGCACATGCGTGTTCGCCGGGGACTCGGATGCCAAGTTCAGGCGGAGGGAGCTGCTTGGTGTCCGATAGTCCCCGCAGCCGAGTATGGGAGGGCGGGGGGGGCGGGGCTTTATCCCGGGGGGGGCGGGGCTTTATCCCAGACTTCTCCGGAGCATTTTTGAAAAATAGCGAGTGCAGAGGCTTTCGTTTCCTGGAAAGTTCCTGGGTGTTTTATGCTTGACTTTCTCGGTGCAATATTTTATCAATACGTTTTACAATAGACATTTCAAGGAATGGACGAAATTTCGGCTCTCCCTGCGGTATGAAGGGGAAGGAGAGCTCTCCTGGCATGCTTTAATTAATTGTTTCATTTTTTCCCCCTGTAACGTGAAAGTAATTGAAAACATTGAAAAACTGCAAAGTAGGGGTGTTGAAAATGACATTGTTTAGTTTATACCAAAAGAAAATGTATTATGAATTTACTCTCCTGGCCTTGATGGAAGCAAACTCATCAATAATGTCTTAAAAATATACACTCCTTACCTGATCCATTTTCACTTAAGATTGTTGACATCTTTGATGATTTATCATGACCCAGTGACAATCTTAAATATTTGTTCATGAATTTGGCTTTCTCTCCTTAGGACTCCATTGTGACTGGTGGTGTTAAAAATTATGCTGTGCTCATAGTTAATAACATGGTATTCTGTACTTAAGAATTTAGTAAGAGGTAGGACTCATAGCATGATTTCTTATCACACACATGAAGAAAGGACAGAGGGAAACTTCTGGAGGTGATGGATCTGTTTATTACCTTGTTTGTGGTGATAGTATCATGGGTGTATACATATGTCCAAACTCATCAAATTGTATACATAAAACACATGCAAGATTTTTCTTGCCTTATTATATGTTTCAAAATGTCCAGTTCCACGTTTGCATGTAAACATTTATTCAAATTTGGAAACAGTGACAGATGAATGTTTGAACTATCTTTTCTTGAAGCCTACAAAGAATCTCATATAAGAGTGAAGTCTGTGTCATTTTGATTCTAAGTTTAATCCTTATTGGATACTCTCTAGAATCATTATCACTGAAGAAAGAAAAATAACATTGTTATGAGTCCCCCCCAAATTCATGTGTTGAAGCCCTAATCCCCAATGTGATGGTATTTGGAGGTGGGGCCTTTGGGTGGCAATTAAGTTTAGATTAGGTCATGGGGGAAGAGCCCCCATGATTTAGTGTCCATATTAGATGATGATGAGAGACCTTGAGGGTGCTTCCTCTTTCTGGGAATGCACACATGAAGGAAGGGCCATGTGAGGACAGAGGAGAAGGTGGCCATCAGTAAGCCAGGAAGAACGTTCTCACTGGACATTGAATCTGCCAGCACCTTGTTCTTGGATTTCCTAGCCCCCAGAACTGTGAGAAATAAATGTCTGTTGTTGCAGTTAGCCAGTCTATGGTGTTTTGTTATTGCAGCTAGAGCTGAGCAAGACAAATGGGATGTTAGAAACAGGTTAATCCAAAAGACTAAAATGCTCTGATTTTTCACAAAAACAATCTGGAGCTCAAAGTTTGTGCTGAGATGAACATATGAGTTGTCTTTTCTTGAAGCCACAGAAGATTCTGGCACAGGAGTTAAATCTGTGTCATTTACATCTAGAGAAAATAATAAAGACTATCCAGTAGGAACATTAAATATTTGGGCACACACACAAATCCCAAAAGGCTGTGTTTCTCAAAGAGACTTGGAGGAAGCTGAGAGGACATACTCAGGCCACAAGAAACTTCACTCTGGTGTGACCAGGGCCCTGAAGGACTTCTGGTGTCCACAGAGTTGTGGGGAGGGTGGAATGAGGTTGGGAAGGTCATGGGGGGAGGGGTGGATGCCTTATGAGGACCAAGAGCACAAATCAAGTCTTGCAGTCAAGTCTGACCTCTACAGCTTAGAGTGGGAAAGGGCTTCACATTTTCTTAGGGATGTAGTCACTCTATTCTGTCTATTCTAATGACTTTTAAAACTTTATTCTACAATTGTTACTAATACAAGGAAATGATAAAGAGAATCTACTAATTGTAGCTTGTTCCCTTATTTTAAAACATCTCTGGAAAAAAGATGTAAAAAAATAATCTCTCCAGTTAGAAACTGGGAATTGGAGGTGAGTGGCAACCCAGAAAGTGTACATGAGGGTTGGGGAGCTGGGTTGGGATGGACAAGGAATCAGAATGTCCGGAAGTTTCCAGAGAGGAGCTGTCTTTAGGATAAGGAGTGAGTTAGGGGCAGTGATTGAAAGAATAGGGCTGCAGGGGATGGGAAGTGGGCCACCATTATGATCCAGAGGTACAGGTAGGAGTTGGGTGAGGGAGGTGGAGCTCAAACAAGAGGCTGGGGGACAGACTGAGCTCTTGTCCTCAACACTGCACCCAGCCAGAGGCCCTGCCCCTGCGGGTGCCCCTCCCTGCTGGTGCCCTGTCCTCCAATTCTCCCTCCCCCTGCCACTCCCTGCCAGTGCCATGCCCTCATCCCTACCCCAACCCCCACTGGTGCCATTCCCACCGGTGCCCCACTTCCAACTCCTTACTTACAGGTGAAGGAATAGGACAGTGTGTAGGAGAAATTGGTCATCCCGTCCTTCCTGAGCTGAAGGAATGAAACGCTCTCCCCCTTCCCAGATTTGCCTCCATCTGCATCCTGCAGATTTCCTTCTCCACTCTCCCCAGAAGCTGCTGTCAAGTGTGGGTGAAAACACCAGCTGTGCACCAGCAGTGACATCTGAGTTGTAACAGCTCAGCAACCTTTCCACCAAGGGTAGAGAAGTCCACGCTGCCCTCAGCGGCAGCCTTGGGCCACCAGTCCCGGGAAGGCTGCACCTGCTCTGGGTCCTTCCCCTCAGAGCCACATGCACAAGAGGACATTCTGTGGCTGAGAGGCATGAGGGGAATTTGCAGAGCTGTATGCAGTGCTGTGAAGGGAAGGTTTGATGAATGCTGCTCCGGCTCCACTCATAGATGTGATTCCTAAGAAGAAATGCTAGAAAAGAAACAACACACCCAAAATGGAGTCATTTGCGCCCCAAACCAAGACTTAATTAGTTTTAACCTATCCCAGGAGTATGACCTTTGAACAGTATCTGAAATTTCCTGACCAGCACCAGTGAGCTAATCTGCATGATAAAACCCTGCCGTTCCCTTCCCCCACAAAAGATGCTGTCCTGGCCTGAAACTGCCACTTTTTTTCTTTTGCCAGTAATTTCTGGTCCCACCCTCCTGCCTATGAAAACCTTCCATTTTGTACAACTCCTCAGAACATCTCTCTGCTTGCTGGAGGGGATGCTGCTTGATTCACAAATTGCTTAATAAAGACAATTAGATCTTCAAGTTTACTTGACTGTTTGCTTTTAACATACAGAGATGGGGAGTCCATGTTGTAGGCTTGGCCAGTGCTCGGCTACAGCCAGCACACAGCTGGACCTGAAGCTCCAGGATATATAAACAACTCTGGGGATGGGAGCCTGCAAGCCAGCACTTACTTTGCTAATTCATCTTACCTGCCAGTTCTCCATTTGCTGTGTCATGTCCTCCCACATTATGGCTCTCAGACTCAGACTTAACAATATAGTGGATTCATCTGTCCGTGCATTAGTTGGAGTCTAGGACATCTTAAGGCTAAGATTCTGTTTTGGAACTAAGAAGTTAAAAATTAAAATTTCCAACATATTTTAGAAACCATTAGCCAACAACTGACCATATCCTGAACCAGGGAAAAAATCCCAAAACAAATGCTATGCTCCCATTATCTGAGGGAAATCATCACCTTGAGCAAGAACAGGACTAACAAATTCCTTGTCTAAGCTTATCTTGTAGAACAGCAAAGACAGAAATGAGACAGTGTAAGGAAGAGAAAACAGGGACTCTGTTCTAAGTTACACCTCCATCTTGGGGGTTAAATGTCAAAAGGTAAAATTCCCAGACTGTCTTTAAAGCAAAGAATTTATGGTGAGCCATTAACTGACCATATGAGTGATTTAAGGCTTGCTATTTTAGAGCAGATCTTGCAGTTGGCTATTTATCCCCAAAGACAAATTAAGAAACTTTCTTCATTATTCCAGATATACAGCCCATATTGTCTGTGTAAGGTTTTTCAAATTAAAGAAAATAAACCATTTGAATAGTTGACTGCAATTTGGGAAGCACACATACTCAATTCCTTTAAAAAGAAATTGGCCCAGCCAGGTTAGGGGGTCCACTGTTAATGCAGGGGGTAAGCTCCCCAGTTCCCAGGGAACAGGCCCAAAAAGCCAGTTGTCACCACGGTGAGGTCCAGTTTCCCTATAGTAAGTCCTTGGGATTGTTTGCAGGCAGATCACTGATGCCCCATTGGATCAAAGAACAATCTTCATTGATTTTGTAGCAGAAAAGAAAGCACAACTCTTCAAAAGTGCTCCCATTCTCTTTGGGTAGGGTCTTTCTGGATTTAGTTTGCAATCCAGCATTTCTCTTGTACTTTTATCACTTAAAAAATTATTTCCAACCATATTCACTACAGTGACAGAAATGACTCGAGTAAGAATTACAACACCAAGCCCTTTAATAGACATTACACAAGTTAGCTTTAAACATTTGACAACACCGTAAAAAAAAAGTCAAAATCCTGTACCTGTGTTTTAGGCAGGCAATCTCCCTGTTAGTTTCAACTATCTCTTTCCCAACAGGGTTCTGAGCTAAGGGAGAAAAATTCAAATTGGCCATGGTTGATTCTGCATGAAAAGAAAGAGAAAACATCTTATCCATTTCTTCTCAAGAGTGGTGATCACAAGAAGACAACACATTAAAGACTATAAGACAGGGCTTGCAAAGGCCATTGTAATTGTCTGCATTAGGGAGTGAGGAATTCTGCAAACCTTGGGCAGGATGAATATTACCTGGTGTCTGAATGAGTGTTCGTCCTTTGTTTTCCACATCCTCAACTCTTCGCTTTCATCAGCTAAATTGCAGTATTGAATACAATTCTGAATACTCTGTTCATGTCTCCCTTACCTTAACAAGGGCACCTTGAGGAACATTATCCATTATCAAACATATTTCTATGATTTTAACAGAATTGTGGGATGAGAGTATGGCTGTCATTTCCTTATTATACGAAGTTCTGCACGGAAGTTCTGAGTTGATTTATTTCCTCTACCCTTTCCCAACAGGGCCCTAATTAATTCTTCTATATTTATCTCCAGTCAGAAGCTCTTCTTCTTCCTTTAGTTATATATCCTCAGCCTTTGTCCCAGGGACTACTACCTGGTCTATAAAAGGGTGGATCATGTTAATGGCACATGAGAACCAAACTGTTCTCCTAAGATGCAAGGGCCATTGCTCCCCTCCCTGGAACCCTTCTGGGGGAACCACGTGCCCTCAGTCTGGCCAGCAATGGAGGCCAGTACACTTTCATAACTTTACATTATTTTCATATGATTGTAACTGGGCCTGAAGGAGTTAAAAGCTGGTTTCTAGCTCCTTGCTGTCCACTAGGAGCAAGACAAGGATGATAACTGGATGGATAGGGCAACATTATCTATTTTGTTCTTGGAGTTTAGAGATAGAAATCCTCCAAAGACAAAGCAAGGAGAGGAACTGAAAATTCCAAGATCCTTAATCACCACTCCTTTAAATTTGCCAAAGTAACTGCAGCTCTGTACACAGGTCTGTGAATAACTTTGCTTTCAGCTGACAGGTAAGACAATAATCGTACTGTCAAGTTTGCGGGAACATCACGGCCAGACCTCAGGAATCCACCCACCAAGGAAGGGGAGTTTCAGGACCCTCCTCAGACGCTGGCTGACGTCTGGATGTCCGCAATTACCTGTCACCTCCCGCTCCCCCTCCTACTCCCTCTGTCCCCAGCATAACGGGAGCTCGGCCTCAACCCCGAGTTAAGAGGCCTTGAGGACAGCAGTCCTCCCCGCCTCCAACCTGAGGCCGGTTGAGCGCAGCCTTTCTCTACTCTCCACTCTGTCCCTGGGTGCCCTGGCTGAACCGTGCGGCAGCGAACCGGACACGGCTACACGATGATGTTTTTCTCCAGCGTGAATTCCCGATGCTCGGGTCGCCTGCCCTTTGCGCTGTGTGCGTGTGAATGGTGACACAAAGCCAGCAGGGCTTGCGGACGCTGCACGCCGCTGAACTCACCCGGATGATTTGTAGTTCTCGCAGCCCAAGTCTTTTACGACGCGCACCTGAGAGCTGACGCGTGCTGTGGCTGCTGGCCTCGATTCCTTGTCACCTCACACTTTGCCACCACGGGCAACCTGGCTATGCTTTTGTGATCCTGGGGGGCGGCGGGGGTGGAGCTGCAGCGAAGAACCCCCGCCCCGCCTGCGCACGCGCGCTGCGCTCCCTGGCGGCCGAGGCCAGAAGTGTCCCGGGAGCGCCGGCGCAGGCCACCCTGGTCCCTTCCTTGCAGACCGGTCGCCCCCGAAGTAAGTGTGCCGACTGACGGATTCAGCCAAAGAACAGATCAATGATTGCATGGCCACATATCGATGCTAACAAATGATTGGTTGCTACTGTGCAATTCAAATTTAACTGGATTTTATCTAGTATTTTACCTGACGAGCCTAGGACCAGGGCTCCGGAGCAACAGTGCTTGCGGTAAATTATAAAAACGTGTAGGACGGAAACGACTGAGTTTTGAGTAACAGGAGGCCCCTGTGCTGTACTATTTTATTTTTCCATGTCCAGTGCTTACTACCAAGCGCTCTGGAAATAGTAATTAATTGGATCCTCAGAACAACCCACGTTCTCCACTTCCACAGGTAACGAAATGGAGCCATGGAGGGAGGCGGCAGTTCTGGGTTGAAAGAAAGCCTCTTTCTAGGTACCCCAGGGGGCTCTGAAGGGCCGGGCTCCTGTCCTTCGGGTTCCAGCACTCATTTCTCCTAGTCCAGCTGCATTTCCACCGGCCGGGTGTCTTGAGGGCATCGTCCTCTGGGGGCTCAGCAGAGCCTGGAGTCTCCTGCTCCGGGGGTGGGGAGCGGCGTGCAGACAAGAAGCTCACACAGGAGGCTGCTTCCGCAGTGAAAGCAGAAGAAGCTAAAGCCGCTGGTGCCGCAGTGATGGAAGGACCCAGGGCCCTAGTAGGTGAAGTGGTCAGGGAAGGTCTCAGAGCAAGGTCCGAGAGCCGGGGCCCACGGGCGGTCGGGAGTTACTCTGTGTGGGATGGCAGTCATTCACTGACCAGTCAGAACTGGCACTGCCATGGTCAGATACACATTTTAGAAAGTTCTGTCTGGTGACTGTGCAGAGAATGAGCTGTTAGGAGGGCAAGTGGGGAAGGAAGCAAACTCAGTGATGTGTATGGTGGTCCCAGTGGCTTCAAACCAGGGCAAGGGGTGACAGAAAAGTTCAGGGAGAGCTGAGGGATGGGCCTTCTGGAGAGCCCCCGGAGGAAGGAGGGGGCCCTTCTCATGGCTGGAGCCCTTTCCTCCTCCAGGTCTCAGCCCAAATGTCTTCTCTAGGAGAGCCTTCCCTGACCGCCCTCTGGAGAAGGCTCATCGGCACAGCATTCTGTTTGGTTTTCTTCACAGCAGTCAGCCAGAGCTGGTAGGACCTTGTTTAATCATCTGGGTATCCCTGGGGGTCTGCCTCCATCCACATATGAGCAGAGACCCTGCTTATTTTGTTCTGTGATCCCCCACCCCTAGAATAGTGGCTAGCCCTCCATAAATATTTCTAGGATGGAAGTCTCCAGGGCCCTCGGAGCTCAGATCTGAAGCAGGAGGTAACCAGGTAAAGAGACGCAGGGAGAGGGGAGAATTTAAGTCAGACGATCATGAAAAGCTGGGGTGGCTGGAGCACCAGGGAGCTGGATGGGGCTTGAGGGAAGTGAGTCAGGATGAGCGAGGGCCAGGCCTGGTTGTAAAGCCCTTGTAAAGCCATGTGACGGTTCATTCTGCAAGTGCAAGGAAAAACTTAGTAGGTCAAACCAAAGGAGTTGTGAATTTGGACCAGTTCTGCTCACTGGAGGCCCTTGTCAAGGTGAGACTATCCCCTGTGTATGTAACAAAACAGACTAAGTTCTGACTAAACCTCTGACTGAGGCTTCCCTCTAGCGGGGAGAAGTTTTTGGACTTTTCACTAGGCCTGAGAGCAGCCGCCAGGGTAGTACTCACTGGGCGCCTACTGTGTGCCAGGTCCCGCAGCACGCAAAGTCGAGTAAGATGGGATCCCTGCCCTCAACCGGGCCAGACTCAGGGAGCAGTGGGGCAGAGGCTCTGCGTGTCTAGTGCTGCAACAAAGGTAAGCAAAGGGCTCTCTGGGGGCCCAAACTCAGGAGTGACAAGCTCATGATCTCAACAAATACCTACTGAGCGCTTACTATGTGCCAGGCCCTGTTCTAGAGGCTTCGCAGGCATCAGTACACAACACAAGCCAAGATCACTGCCTTGTGGAGTGTATGTTCCAGGAGAGTGAAGCAGGCAGCAAACAGGATCCATGAAAGTGCGTTACAAGGGTGGAGGGATGGGGTGTGGGAGCCTGCTGAGCACCATGTAAAGCAAATGGAGCAGCAGGGCCGGTTTCAGGTTGGGGAGGGCATGGAAGGGCAGGGTGCTGCAAGAATCAGTCCTCATCCCAAATGCCGGCACAGATGTCAGGGTGAGAAGCGGGGATATAACAATGGATGCTGTGTGAAGAGGGGTCATAAAGGAGGGGCATCTGAGCCCAGGCTTCCAGCAGCGGCTGCAGACTCAGAAGCCCACACGGGTCCAGCAAGTGATTGCAGAGGGAGGCTGCCCACGGACACTGGGTGGGCTGGCTATGTGGGCTGTCGCGACGGTGGCACCTACTTCTCAGCCCCCTCTGTTTGTTGCCATGTGGGCTTCAAGCCCAGTTTTGCCAGAAATACTAGCTTTCCAAGACAAGCCAGGAATTGGAACTTTATTACAAGAACGTTCCTATTTTGAAATGTTAAATCAATTAAAAAAAAGATAAACTACACAGGGTAAATGACACGCGTCAGCCCATGGGCTACTCATTTGCAACCTGTGGCTCAAAAATTAAAGGTATTTCAATAGGTCTTGAGCAGGCCACTGCAGATTAATAATGGTGGCAATTATGTGACACGACTTGTTCTAGTGAGTGTCATTAAAAAACACTTGTATTCTAAGTAAGAGAAGGGAGCTAGAGGTGTTCTTTATATGAGTTCTATTTTCCTGAGATATGTTATATTAGTTTTTTATTTCAATCCTCTTTCCCACCTTGAAAATTCCACTATCCTGTTTGTCATTGTATTTATTATTCCTCAGCTGTTTATGGGTTAGTTTATAAGACTACTTAAGGCTGACTTTACTGTTATTTTCAACTGGGCACCAAATTAGGTACTTTATGTAAAAGCCACATTTCCTGGGACCCATCTAGAAATTCTGGAGTGATTTCTCCTTGGAAAAAGGGTGTCTGGACATGAGCTCCTGCATTTAGACAATAATAGCAGCAGTGATTTTATTTTACACATAAAGTTCTCTAAGATTCCCTGCTGAAGACAGCATGAACAATGCCAAATACTTACCTATCTTTCTGTATCTATGTATCTGTATACATACACTGACATTTGTATATTAAACAGTGGTGGGAAGGGCAGGGGTCTAGGAGTTTGGGGTGTAGAGGTATAGAGGTTTAAATCCCAGATCAATGCCTACAACATCTGGGTGACCCTGAGCAAATTTCTTACATGTCAGAGTCCTGATTTCATCATAATTAAGTGTAAATAACAATACCCCTGAGATGGTAAGGATTAAATAACATATATGTAAGGCACCTGGCACAATGTGTTCAGTGAACATTAATCAGCTTCCCTAGAGGTGCTGACCAGTGAATGCAGGAAGCTTTCCAGCAATCGTTTGTGGGTGGGAAAGGGTCCTTACATCCCACGCTGAGAGACTGTGCTTCATGCTCCTGGCCCCGTTGGGAATTGCTGCCATCAAAGGACTCTTCCTGATCGCCATGATGGAGGGTGACAAACCCCTCTGGTGCACTGAGCTGGAAAATGGTTGAGGATCACTGGATTAAATGGAATTTAGGACATAAAGCTACAATTGTGACACCATTTTCATATTATTCACTTACATGAATTTATCACAGGGCCAGGCTCAAATATGAAAGAATAATACAAGCCATCTGTTTGCAAATATTACATGTCTGTGCCACAAAGGGAAGCACTTAATTTTATAGCACTCAGAAATGAAAGGCATGTGCTAAATACTAACTTCATATAAATGGAATTACTTAATAAATGGCCTCTGTAAGCTTCCCTCCCTCAGCATAATCCCCACCAGATTCAACCATTTTCTTGTGTGTACAGTAGTCACTGTGGTTTCAGTTACTCTCTTTCAACCACAGTCCAGAAGCTGATGATCTTCCTAAGATCAGAGGTCAGTGGTAGTCTGATGCTATGACCAACTGCCTACATCACTCACGTCACTTTATCTCATCATGTAGGTATTTCATCATCTCACGTCATCACAGGAAGGGTTACTGCAGTACAATAAGACATTTTGAGAAACAGAGACCACATTCACATAATTTTAACTGTACTATATTGTTATAATTGTTCTATTTTATTATTAGCTATTGTTGTTAACCTCTTACTGTGCCTAATTCATAAATTAAACTTTATCACAGGTATGTGTGTAGAGGAAAAAAACACAGTACATATAGGGTTTGGTACTTTGTGGTTTCAGGCATCCACTGCGGGTCTTGGAGCATATCCCTTGCACATAAGGGGGAACTGCATACTTTGATCCCATTTTATTCCTGGGTAGTATTCAAGTAGATGGCTATATTACAACATGCATATCTGTTCAGCTGTTGATAGATGTTTAAATATCTCCCATTTTTGGCTACTAAAAATAAAGCTGTTAGCTGATGTTGGCAAAACTGGACAGCTACATGCAAGAGAATGGAACTGGATCATTGTTTAACCCCATACACAAAAGTAAACTCGAAATGGGTTAAAGACTTGAATGTAAGTCATGAAACCATAAAACTCTTAGAAGACAACATAGGCAAACATCTCCTGAATATAAGCATAAGCAACTTCTTCCTGAACACATCTCCTCAAGCAAGGGAAACAAAAGCAAAAATCAACTCATGGGACTACATCAAACTAAAAAGTTTCTGTACAGGAAAGGACACCATCAACAGAACAAAAAGGCATCCAATATGGGAGAATATATTTGTAAATGACATATCTGACCAGGGGTTAACATCCAGAATATGTAAAGAACTTATATACCTCAACCCCAAAAAGCAAATAACCCAATTAACAAATGGGCAGAGGATATGAAGAGACAGTTCTCCAAAGAAGAAATTCAGATGGCCAAC